TCCTGGGGTGCAGGGCTCACTCCTGTGGGGGACACTGGCTGTCTTGCTGCACTGACCTGAACCTCTCCTAGTGTTCCGTTTCTGAGAGCGGGGTGAACATCTGGAGGGGCATGTGGGGCACAGGATTCTGTGTTCTCCCATCTCACCTGCTGGTTGCATCAGGAGCCTGCCACGGCTCACAGCTCTCCAGTCACTCAGGTAACAACTGGATGCTCTGTGGGCCAGGTCCAACCTGCAGACGTGTGTCTGCTCAGAGGACTTCTGGAGAATTTGGATTGATTGCATACATTCAAAAATCAGGGGATTTTACATAAATACCTGAATTTCCATCCTCTGTTGGAAAAAACATCAGGGCATCAGGCAACACAGGGCCACATTCCTGCACAGCCCCAGCTGGCTGTAGCTGGTGGCAGCTGACCCTTTCAGCGAGGGCAAGAGGTTTCCAGCTTCTGTTGTCCCCACCTCTTCTTAATACTTTAAATCCGTCCCGTGTCACTCCTCTACGTCACCTGCCTTACCTGGCAGGCGTGGGAGTTTACAAACATTGCTCTATCCTGAGAACAGGGGCCATGAGCCACTGAGGTGGGCCCAGGTGGGCACAGACCCATTTCTTAGTTCCCGGCGGGGGTATGGCCATGCAGGCAGGGACGAAACCCCACAGCTCTCTGCTTTGTCCGCCGCCATAAAAAACACCTGGACTGCCCTCTTCCCCACCCACAGTCGCTGCAAAGGTGGATGGAGGCAAGTCTGGCTTGACTTGTTCTTGGTAAACCCCTGGCAGTCTTTTAAAAGATCAGTCCTACCATTTCATCCTCTAGGGTCGATGTCAAGTTTACAGGGCTGTAGTTAGCTGAATCGCCCATCTTCTTTTCCTGAACATGGCGGCACTTCCTCCTGCCTGTCTCCTACCCCTCGGTTCTCACCCACGGCTGCTAGAAGACCCACATAGGTTCTGTTACAGCAGCCGTCACTACCTGTGCATAATCCACACTGGCTGCTGGTGACTTGAATGTGGAACCGCAACCCCTGCAACGTCCGGTGTTGAGTCAGGAGAGGGTAATATCCAGCAGATATTGTGGTCTCGTGGGTTGGTCATATCCCTCTACTGGACTCTGAGGTCCCCGATAGCAGGAGGGAGTTTCTAAGGGCCCAGTGCCTCAGGGAGGCCATGGGTAGGGACCTGATGGTGCAGCTGCTGCCCTCAGGTACAGGATGCGATGGGAGCTCACTTCTCCCTACACAGACTTGGTCCCAGCTGCTCTTTCCTGTCTTCCTTTGAACTCTGCCTCCAGGATGTGGCCGTCAGCAAGCCTGGGCCAGGGCACCTGTCTTGGGCTCTGGTCAATGCTTCCTTGCACTCAGCTCCCCCACATCTGGCCTTCCTGTTGCTGGAGCTCCAGGTGGGAAAGCAACCAACAGGTGCTCATCCTCTGGGCCCATGTCCTGGGAGGCCCCCTTTGGCTCATCAGCAGGTAGTCAGCACGCAGTCCCTGCCTAGTGGGGACTGTCCCTCTGGCCCGTTACCAGGGTGTGGGCGGTTTTGCCTGCTGGTCCCTCAACCACGTCCTGCACCGCTCCTGTCTGGGTCCTCCAGGTTCTCCTTCTGCCCCTTTTGGGTCTTCTTTCTAAAAACTGTCCCCTTTCACCAGCAGCTTCCAACCTGTCTTCTGGCTCCCCTTCCTCACCCCAAACAAGTTGTCTGAGGAGAAGAGGGCAGGGCAGCTCCGACCCCAGAAGGATGCCCTGGGGCCCTGGGGGCGGACCCTCAAGGGGACGCCTGAAGTGCAGGGCATTCTGAACTTTGTTTCTTCTTAACAACAGACGTCACTCTTAATATCTTAGCGCATGATTCCTATTTCTACAAAACCATGTTTAACATGATAGTATTTTAAATAACTTAATTTTTGCACTGAATCTATGAATAAAATTGATGCTGGAAAGCAGGGGTCGGCGAGCGTTTTCTGTGAAGGGCGGGACAGTGACTGTTTCCGGCTTTGCAGGCAGGCCACGTGGCTCTGTGACAATGATGCAGCCCTGCTGTTCGGGTGTGGAAGCAGCCACGCACAACACACACAGGAATGTGTGTGGCTGGCCTCCAACACAGCTTTGTTTGTGAAAGCTCTGAAATTTGAATTTGGTATGATACTCATGTGTCACAAGACCTTCTTCTCTTGATTTTCCCATTATCTGAAAATGTGAAGTCCATTCCTGGCTTGCAGGCTGCACCAAGGCAGGCGGCGCGCCGTGCTTTGCCCACACCACTCTAGGAAGACGGTGCTGGGCCTGAGCTTTGGGGGTCGGAATTCCCTGTACATCTTTGTTCTCCTCACTAACTGTGGCACTGAAGGCAGGTGACAACCTGCCGGAGCCTCGCCTCCCCTGGAGGGCACGTTGTGGGAGGAGCTCCTGCCTGCTGGGGCCGGGCACAGTGAGCTGGGGCCCCGTGGCTGGCAGCAGGACGGGAAGGAACACCTCCTCTCCCGGGTGCCTTCTCCTCTTGGTCGTCATCCGATGACTATTGTATGAACCTCCATCTCACAGGGGCAGCCAGCCCCAGGCCTCAGACTAGACATCCCGTCCTGACCGCCCTACCGGTCAGCAGTTTATGGCTCTGAAAACAGTCTTTCCAGGTCCCCAAACCCCCCTGCACCATTTAGCAGCTAGGAGACTGGGAGAGTCATTCAGCCCCTTTGTGCCTTGGTCCTGTCACCTGTAAGGTGGCGATAACCTCGTGCAGTTATGGTGGGGACCAAGAACATGGCCACGGGACACTCAGAACAAGTCCATCCGAGGAACTGTCTAGTAAATGTGTCCGTGCACCGACTAAGGCCACCAGAGAAAAGTCCTGAACGCACTCATTTAAATTCTAGACAAAATAACTTTTTTTGAGTAAAACTATCTACCAAATATTGCACGGATATACTTATACCAACAAGTTAGTTTATGTGAAATTCAAATCTAACTAGGTGTCAGTCCTTCAACCCCCCCAAATCTGGCACCCCACACACCAAGGAAGGCCTCACAGTCTGGGGCCTCCCTCCCTCCAGCCCCGAGAGTCTCCTCACCCCTCAGTTCACTCCAGGCCAATGGGCTCGTGTGGAAAGGGCAGTGGGGACGGAGCCAGGCCAGAATGCCTGTGTCTTGCAGCACTTTGATGCCCCACGCCCACCCTGTACTTACCTCAGTGAAGGAAGGGACAGCTTCCTGGTCCTCTCTTGCTAGGAAATTGGCTCGGTTACCTTATCTTTCCAGGAGACAGGGAATCCTCACCTCCCCAGCTACTCAAAAGGAGTAAAGACAGACAAATCACACATGCCAGGCACGACTTTAAACACCTGACACTGATCACTTCAATAGACCCCACACCGCCCTGTAGGTACAAGTGATAATGACCCCTGTTCTACAGACGAGGGAACGGAGGCTTGTGGAAGTAGTGCTTCCCCCACACCCAGGGTTCCACCACCCATCCCCCTCCTCCCGGGTCTATCGCCCCCTCTGTCCTCTGGTTCTTGGGCAAGGGCCAAGCCAGAGTGCAGACCACTTCGGTCACCACCATCCTTGGGTCTTCATTTCCAAACCGATCTCATGGAACATCCCCCTTGTAGGAACCCGTACTCAATGTACCCCTTTCCCTTCTCTCCTATCTTATCCCACTGGAAGACAAGGCCCAAAGCCACACACGCCACCTGTGCTGCGGACCTGCCCTCTTGCTCCTGGACCTTAGAGACTGCATCCTGAGAAGCCAAGGTGCTGGTCGAGGGGCTGGGTGAAGTCCTCCCTGGCTGGCCTGAGAGATCCTTCTGGGATTTGCAGACCAGATGCAGTCATTCTTGCAAGAAACCATTTTAAGAAATCTGGTGTTAAGTGAATGAGGTATAAACTTTTCCAGAGGGTGTGACCTGTTTTGCTTTTCCCAACGCCAGTATTTCCTAGTGTGATTCTGCCAGAGCTGGGTTCGGAGGTTGAGGGGGCCCAGCTGGCCATCACAAAAGCTAAAGTGTTGCAGCCTCGGGCTGGTGGGACAGAGGGGACTAGCCCCAGCTCTGTTCTCCGTGATTGATGAGAGCACTTTGTGGCCTTCTGTTGGCTTTCATTAGGCAAACTGCATGCCAGGGTCTCTCTACCCGGCAACCAAGATGCTGAGAGGACAAAGGTCACTTAGGGAGCACACACACAAAACACTGAACACTGACCCAATGTACTGGGCTACCTGGCCTCCTCCGTCCCTGTCCAAGGAGGTAGCATTTATTGGAGCAGGCTTTGAGGTCACGAGTGAAACCAAGACTCTTTCCTACTTATTCTGCATAAATTACTCCCCTACTCAGGACAGCTTTCCAAGTCTCAACCTGAGATCTACAAAGCCTATACTACATACTTTGAAAATGGTGGCAGGTCACTCAGGCCTTATAAAACAATGTCCTGCCCATCCTCTAAGCTATTCATCCACCACCTATTGGTACTGAGGAGGACCCAGCAAGGGAGGGGGCGGGTCATCGCTTGCTCTCAGCCTCACGGAGATTTGGCACTTTCCTCCCAGCCTTGTTAATAATTTCTCACATAGCCTTTCTGGGGCTGGAGAGGCGATGCTTCCCAAAACTAGGACTGTAAAGTTCTCAACAAGCTTCAGCTACCGCGGCATCCCTGCGTGTCATGCACCTGATCCAGTCCAGATGTGCCCTGAATCCCAGCTACACGACTGGACTGGAGGTGGGGCTTCTGGGACGGGCTGAGGGGAGCAGCGTCGCCCAGGCACTCGGGTCGAGTCTGGGGAGCCGTGCCGAGCCCCTTCCAACCGGTGCTCTGGGGATGGCCAGTCAAGTCAGCCCTCCTGAATGGATACCAGCAAGCCCCCTATGGGGTGCACCTGGGACAGACTGAGGTCCTGTCCTGTGTGCAGGTGACTCATTCAGAAAGAGCCCAGGCAGCAAGAGACACCCAGTGCCACTGAAGTCCTCACATACAAATTTGACTTTTCGACTTTTTTTTTTTAAAATCCAGGGTCAAGACCACAGACAATTTATTATGTAAGACAGACGGTGAAGAACGACCAAGGAAGTTATGGCTGTGTGTGACATGGAACTTGATGAAAAGGCTCAAGTTGGCTGAGGAGAGTTTAAATTTGGCTTTTGTTCTTGAAAACGTCAAAATAATCATAAGAAGCACTTATGCCTTACAGAGAAAGTAATCCACAAAGTGTCATTTTCATTTTGCAAACAGGGACACAACAGCAGTCAAATATAAGCCTAAACACCCAGAGTTAACATACAGGTTTGATAAGCTGTAACAAGGGACCGAGCATGCTGGTGGCTTTTTAAGTCAAATCCATATTGAACCCTGTGACCTGCTGGAGGTTCTACGTGGAACCTGGGGAAGCAGCTTTTCCACACAAACGACAAGGAGGAGGAGGAGGAGGAGGAGGAGGACGACGACAGAGAACACCCAGCCCCCGCTGGGTGTCTACAATACTCATTTGCAGTAAGGCTTTCAAGATACAGGAATTTTTATAGCATTTGTATTTTAAGGATTTAGGGCAAATACATTTTTTTCTACTTGATAAAAAGAAAATTAGTACTTAAAAGGTTCAAAAATATATTGATTGAGTGATTTTTTTACATAAATAAATTATATTGATTTTTAAGGATTTAACAGCTGAAAAAACCCTTTCTGCTTCCACTGGAGGCAAAACTGAACAAAATGTTAGTTAAATAGAGAGAGCAGCATTTCCAAGAAATCTGTTGTCAGCACTACAGACCATCTATGCTATAAAGATGTCATTAAACAGGATTTGTTCAATTACTGGATTCTTTCTTCTTACATGATCAGTTATAGATTTCCTGATTTATAGCTCTGATTCACAAAACCGGGACTCCACTTTTTGAAAACACACTTGACTGATTTTCCGGTCACGATTTAACAGACTTCTTTGAGATGCTCATTTTAACATTTACATAATTTATAATCCCAAATGTATAAAAGACAATGACAAAACCATCATAAATAAATAATGCAAACTGAAATAGTTATGTCAAACTTTTGGACCTTCTGATAAATTAGCAAAAAACGGTAACAGAAAAAAGTAAAAAATACAGTAAATGTGACAACAAACATGTGAACCGGGTACTAGTAACACTTCCGACATCCCCGGCGGTCCGGCACGGCACGGCCCGGCTCCCCCAGAGGACTGGACCACGAGCTCCCTTCAAGTCTCAGAGTGTGGACTGCCGACAAAGAGTGGGATGTCGGGGGTGGGGGGTGGAACATGAGTGGGAAGGCCAAAGGAAATGGGCCTACGTGCTGCTCGGGCAGGAAAAAGGAAAATGAAGTCAATTTGCAACAGTCTCGACTAACCTGATGATTTGGAATCTGGGTCCAACTGCAGTATATATAAAACCGAATAGAGAAAAAATGGAGGAAAACAAACTTTTCACAGTCATGTAAAAGGTGGTACACCCGTGTTTTGACAACCTCAAATAACTTTGACAAAAGGACCTAGGCAAGTGCCAAGTGACTGTTTCTCACAGGCTCCTGATTCCTGGTGAGTGAGCGCGCAGAGGAAAGACCCGCCAGGCCCAGCAGTGGCTGGGGTCGCTCTGCAGAGCGGGGGGTGGAGTGCTAGTCACGTGCTCGTGAGCGGCGTGCAGCTCCACGGAGGGCGCCCCTCGCCCGCCCCAGTCACCGGCGACCACTCAGGTGTGCCAAGCTTCCTCATACTGAGAATCATCCTTTACCTTGGGAGAGAACGTACGTCTATAAAGTAATGCCTTAGTCAGTATTTCTTCTCGCTGCAAGCGTCTGAAAAACCCAAAGGGGGAAGTTAATTTACTACCAGTAAGGTTTCTGTTTCATAAAGAAATGAATATATGCATTTTCAGCCATTAGTTATATACTTCTGTCTATACTACTCATTTAGTAATCATAAAATAGGGAAATATTTTAACTAAAAAATGTGCACCGGCACTTCCTTTTCCTGTGCTTTTTGGTTCCCCATTACATCCCTCTCATTCAGTCCGGCTCACAGAAGAAAAGAGCTGCTGCCTCCGCCCCTCAGCCCTTCATCGGGAGCCCCTGGACGGCTTCCTTATGCCACGTTCCTCCTCAGATCGGCGGGAAACTCGGAGAGAAGGGGTAGGGCATGTCACCAGGTACTGCGTCACTAGGACCGCTGGAATGGACGACGGGACCACAGAGTGCGGATTCTGTGCCTCCTAGACTAGGTCGACGACACTCAGCTAACGAAGTGGCAAGACCCTGCAACTACGAACATCTGTTACCGTAGTTCTCGGACAGGAAATCAGGTAGGTAAATATTACTTATGGAAACACAGGTTCTTATGAAGGTGAAGGGAGGGAAGTAACAAACCTTTATGGGATAAGAAACTTACACGTCACATCATTTCTTAAATGAAAGAGCAGTTCTAATTGGTGTCACTGTTGGAGTCTTTGAGGCCCGCGTCCCCAGACGGCGCCGTGTGTTCACCGTCTGGGGGCACAGGTGCCCTGGGTTCGGGGAAGTTCTGATCGCTGCCTGGCCCCCTGTCCGACCCAGGAGCAGACTCAGGGGTGGGGTTCGGGTGGTCCCCTTTTGTTTTCTTCTTCTTCCTCTTCTGGCTCTCCAGCCCTGCCATTTCTGAGTGTCTGCCCTGCTGCATGGTGGGCAGAGCCATGCCCATGCCAGGGGAGAGGAACATGGATGGGTAAATGAGTCCAGGAGACACTCCTGGGATGAGAAATGGGTTAAAAGCCACAGGACTACTCGTAGTTATTGCGGGCTCGGACTGATCAGAGTATGGACTAGGACCAGGCCTGTCTTCAGCTAAAGTGTCCGTTTTCACATCATGGCTAATTGGCTTGTCTTCTACAGTCTGTTCGGTCACCGACGTACCACTTTTCGTTGTGCTGGACAGAGGCGCTGGAGCAGTCGAAGTGCAGGCAGTCGCCATAGGGGGGTTGAGGAGTCCCCCAACCCCAAACATCTGGGGCACAGCAGCCATTCCCGGCAGCATCATGGGCAGCATGCTCAAGGTGCTTTTGACCTCTTCGCCCGTGGGCATTGTCGCGAAGCCAGCCGGGAACCCCAGCAGCCCTGTGAGGGGGATGCCCGGCACATTCCTCATGTTCTGGAGCCCCACCAGGTCCATCCCAGCAATCAGTCCATTCATGAACAGCGGCCCCATTCCAGAGGGAGAGTCCGCCACCATGGCGGGAGCTTTCAGGAGCTCGCTCCGAGGTCGCCTCCCCCTCCTGCGGGGGCCTGCGTCTCGAAGAACAGGCTCAGCCAGGGTGTGATTGAACTTGTTTTCTGGGAGAAAGCCCTAGAAAAGGACAAGGAAACACAAGATGCTGAAGGTCACTGGATGATGGGAGGTCACCTGGGGCTCTGCCCAGGCCATCCTGCCCAGCGCCTCGAAGGGTCCCCCAAGGGCACTGCCTCCTGTGCACCTGCTCCTGGAGCTGCCTCCCTTGGAGGCCGACAGCCTGTCGCCGTCAGGCACCGCCTCCCACTTGCTCACTGTGCAAAAGCAGGGTCCGGCCTGTGGCGGAGCTGTCAGGATGCTGGGAGCTAGAGATGAGCACTAAAGATGCCCAGGTCTTGGTCAAGACTTTAAAAAACTTCCTGAGGTATAGCTGACACAACATTGTGTTAGTTTGGTTGTACCACATAAAAACCATACGGAAGGCTTCAGGAATTCGTGCATTGTTCTTGTGCAGGGGCCATGCTATCGCCTCGGAATCATCCCAATTTCAGTGCACGTGCTGCTGAAGTGAACACGGTCAAGACTCTTGTGGCTGCAACCCCTTGTCCCGATCACTACATTTGTCTTCCTTATGACACAGGAAGGTTTTCAATGACAGCCACAGAACAGAGTAGGTAAGACGGGGCTTTGGAGCAGACTGACCTGACTTCCCACCCTAGCTCTGGGACCCGGGCCGAGTCCGTTCAAGTCAGAATTCTGGTGAGAAAGGACGATGACGCCCATCTTGCAGGGTTACTGAAGGCGAAGTGCTTAATACCTCGCCCAACCCACGGAAGAAGCCCTGCTAAGAGGGCACTGCTGGCTACGTGTGTGCCCCATGCCCCTCCGGATCGAGAGCTCCTGGAGGACAGCGACTCTCACACGCCCACGTGTCTGTTGAGAAAACAAAAGCGTTCTTGATGGTCACTGGTGAGCTGTGTCAAAATGCAGCAACACTCTGGTCTCCCTTAAGGGAGACGATCTATTTTCCTGTTCAGAGGTTTGCCCTCCCATTTCCTTACTGGTGGGGAGCACCCCGAGGACTCAGCTGTGACCACGTCTGGGACTCAGCTATGCCAGCACACCAGACACCTGCTACACGCATCGGAACACTTCACCACGACACGCCTGGGTGATTAGCCATGGAGAAGCACAGAGGAGGGCCCGCTGCCCTAACGCACCGGTGCACTGTAGGCTGATGGGGGAAGAAAGTACCTGCTTGAGAAGGGGCGCGGTCACATGCCCCTTCCCAGGACCACGGCCCAGTAGCTCTGCGGGAAAGAGGATGCAAGGACCTGCCTGAGAACCTGCTCTCTCAGCTCAAGGTTCACTTGCAGAGACTTAAACCAACCACTGCCATTCCAATGTAACTAACTATGAATGTGTTTCAAATACGGCCAAATCAATCCCCAGCAAAAGGAGAGAACTGTTTTCCCCACACAGAAAGAGAGACATTTTTTCCAGGACGCAGTATCTGAAATGCCTAGACCCCCCCCTGGGTCTATATCACCACTCCTCACTGCCATCTTTACATTCATCAAGGTGGTGCACGCCCACCCTTTTAAAGGCCAACTGTACTTCTGTGGTCAAGCAGTCTGGGTCTTCTTTGCTCAGAGGAGTGTAAAGGAAAAGCCCTTCCCCTGGGGGTCCACAGGGAGCCGTGGTTCCTGTCACAAAGCTGGTGTTCTTCTACAGCCTCCTCTTTGACCACAGTGAAGGGGAGGCTAAAAACGTTCAGCGTGGCCTCCAGAGATCTATGACCCTGGCTTCACCCCAAGGACAACAGGTCACAGGGCTGAAGTGTGGAGACAGGGTGGGAGGTGGGTGGGCTCAACAGCGAGGCTTCTGGGCTTGGCCCTGGGGATGCTGGAGGAGCCCACGCTTCTCTATGGCTGCCTCTGCTGCCTTCACCGGATTCTCCAGTTTGTGGGTGTAAATGCCTCCCCTTCCTCCAAGTCTGGAGTAAGTGGGGAGCAGCGATCTGGCGAGGAGCAGCTGGGACCACCAGCCCACAGCTGTACCTCCTTATCTTTGAGGCTCAAAGGCAGGGACGCAGCTGCCTTCCTAAGCGGAGCCTACCCAGAGCAAGGAGGGAGGTCCAGGCCTCACCAAGAGACACCAAACAGGCCAGGAGAACCTTCTGTGATAGCCAGGAGTCCTAGGCAGCGTGGAGAAGGAAGTCGGGGAAGCTAATGCCATCGAAGGGCTGAGACTGGTGACCGGCCTGAAAGCAGCTGACCACTTTGAACTCTGATGCAGTTGCTCTGGCATTTCCCTCTGGCTCACTGCCTCTCTTCTCCCCTAACTGTTAAAGACAAACCCTCAGAAAAACCGACAGATCTTTGCGTAAGGGGCAGCCGTGGAGACAGGGCGAGTGAGCGACAATGGTTCAGGTTCTCAGTGAGCTGCGGGGACACGCGTGTGCGGCGGCTCCAAAATGAGAAGCAGCAGAGATGCACTGACTCCCATGCAGTGAGGACTGTCAGCGGCACAGGGCACTGGCCACCAGGGTGCTGTGCAGGGCGTGCTGGTGTGACGGGAGGAGCAGTAAGAGCACTGATGGCACCTCAAACGAGCACTTGACTGGAGGCAGGTGTGTGCTAAGGGCTCCATCTGCACGAGCGCAGTTACCCATCACAGCAACCCCCTGGCGTCAGTGCTGTCACCACAGCCACTCCACGGGGCGTCTGCGAACTCACAGGCACGTGGAAGTCCCCACGCCTCCCCACACAACGTTAGTTTTGAAGTCCCACATCTGTTTCCCTATGAATATTAAAGAAGAACCAGATCACCATAAGCCACGGGCAAAATGCATTAAATGGTAAACTTTGACTGAGGAGAAAATTCTCCTGAAAAGCCTTGGTTTGTAACAGTGGAAGAGGGAGAAACCTCTGGTACCGTCACGCTTGGTCCCTCTTCTTTCTTACACATCGAGAGGGGCAGGGATTTGGCCCTGGGGGCAGAGCTGGTCCAGCCCTGGGACCCAGCCCAGGGCTCTTTGCTTGAACCACACCACATCTGTATCTTGTCTCCAAAGGTGGCTACCTGTGATCTGCCAGTCCGCTTTGTCCTGGGTATGCCGGGCAGCTGCTCACTCTGGTGCTGGGGCCGCCTGCTCAGGGAACACCACCTGTCTGGTTCCTGCTTCTGAACAAAGCTCATAGGACTCACTGGACTGGGGCTAGGCCACAAGCATCCTTTCTTAACCAGTCTGTTTTGAGACCATTAAGGAAAATCGCCTTGCTCTGGACGACACCGTAGTCGCAGGTCCCTTTTGGGGACAGCCCAGGGTCCTGGCCAGGGCAACCACAGCCCACCCACGGCAAGAGCCAGGGAAAGGCACTGGGGTGTGTCTTCTTCCTTCATACCCACAAGCGTTCCCTCGTAACTCTCCGGAGGGAAGCCTTTCTATGGGGAAGAAAACAAACCCAGCCCCCCAAAATTATGCCTCCATCTTATTTTCAAACAGCCTGCTATAAACCAGACGCACTTTCACACACTTGGTTTTGAGCTCATCCGGGCTTATGTAGGACCAGACAGCGCCCTTAAGACAGCCTGCATCCCGTGGGCCCTGTGGTCTCTCTGGCCCTGCCCGTTAAGTTCATGTCGCACTCCTCGGGCATCCAGATGTCCAAAAATGTCTCTTCCCTGACCTTGTAACAAACCACTGACGCCGAGAGAATGCTGGGCCCTTTCAGAACTGGGAACCTGCCAACAAGACACACGGGCTGGCCTGGCCACCTTCTCCCCTTCAGACTGGAGAGCAGCAGCAGGAAGTTCTTCACCTACAGCAAAGCAAGAGGCGTGCTGGCAGAGGAAGTCAGCTCTCACCACTTCCTGTGGGAGAGAGAGTCACTCCCGCCACCCAGCTGCTGCCCACCCTCCCCAGATGCCCCTCCCAGCAGCTCTGCGACCACACACAGCGGCCAAGCCGGCTTTGGCAGCGCTCCCTCCTGGTAATTATACCCTGGGAGCAAACCTGCTTCCTCTTCCAGGGGAGGCCCGGGGAGAGGGCAAGAGGAGCAAGGAGGAGGCAGACATGAGGCAACACCAAAGGCAAAGCTGCAGTGCAGACGGCCGCACGGGCGCTACAACCCAGGAGGAACATCCTTCTTCGTTAGGACCTGGTAGTGTTTATTCCAAAGCCTGCATGTGCCCACGCTAAACTGAACTTCTGGGAAGGGGGGTACCCCAAACTTCCCTACTCCTCCCAGGAAGGACTTTGCCTAGTAGGTTTGCCGACAAACACCCACTGGGGGGAAAGAGGCCTAACAATCAAACACAGTGCATGGATCCCAATTTTAAAACTTGGACAAACAACACAACATAAAACAAAACAAAAACAAGCTCTAAAAAATATTTTTGGGACAGCTGGAAAAATCTGAATCTGGACTGGATATTAGATATTGATATTCACATGCGTGATAATGGACATAGCTACACAGGAAACCAGTCTTAGGGGGTGCGCGCTGAAGTGTTTAGGGGCAATGTGTCATGTCGAATGGCTCAGCAAGAAATGAACATTAAAAACCACACAGATTGTGTGTAACATGGAATAAATGCACCCAGCACATAAAGTACACGAAGCACGTGTGTGCGCACACATACATCTAACGAGCAGCCACTGTGCACGGAGCCCTTCTGAGAGCTGAGCTCCTGGCCCCACAACAGCGTGTGCCGTGCTCAGTCTGGTGCAGCCGCATCGCCCGGAGCAGGAGGGGCTGAAGGAAGGGAGAAGTCCTTGTGGGGTCTGAGCCTGTTTCTAGAAGGGCTGGTGTCCCCATGGGAGAGAAAGTGCAGCAAACCCCAGAGGGCTCCAGTCCCGGAGGAGCCGTGGGTGACAGCTGAGAGACGGGCTGTCCCGGAGCCGAGCAGAGTGCTGCTGCCAGGGCCCAGGTGGCTCTGCCTCACCGGGGAGGCCGCGCAGCCCCGAGGACCAGGTGGACGAGGGCTTCCTGTTCCCACCTTACTGCAGGAAAAGGGCCTCCGAAGCAGGGACTGTGTTTATTTAACAAAGGAGCGAAAGTGCATCTCTGGTAAGAGGCTGGCTTAGAGAAACAGCTTAGAAATGGGTTTTCTGGCAAGAGGTCAGTGTCTGCAGGAAGTTATGAACATTAATTTCCAGAGAACATGAGGGAAATTGTCAGACATGTAGAAAGACATGAGAGGGCCAAGGGGGAAACCACATGGTTTTTCTGACAAGTCTCTTAACCAAGAGCTCCAAGCTACAGCAAAGCAAGAACTGGAGGTCTCCAGGGGACCATGCTGTGCCGAGAGCAGAACAGAGTGGGGCTGGGGGGGCACTGTGAGGACTGGAGAGAGGCAGATAGGTTAAGAATTGAAGCAGAATCAGCTCGCATAACACAAGCAGGTCTAAGAAAAGGGGTGGGAGGGACGTTTTCTGGGGAGAAAGCAAGAGAGCTGGAAAAAGGGTTGCTTTTCCAATGAGACAGACTTCCTAACAAGCAGGGCCCCAGGGACTGGGCCAGGCCTCCCACCCAGAGGGGCTGCAGTGGGGGAAGATGAGCCAGAACGTTTATGTATGTAAGAGCTGCTAGAAAGGAAGCGTGCAGGTGACAAATCAATAACAAGCTCCTTGAGAATATTTAGTCACAATGTCTTTCTGCACAAGGAAGAGGAAATGACTAGGGTGGGTGGTCTTTTGGAGCTAAAAAAGGAAATCACATCCAGGCAACTTCACTAAGGCAGGAATCTGGACCCCAGGAGGGCTGCAGCTGGCAGAGCCCTGCAGAGGAGGCACTCGGGGAAGCCGGCGAGCTCCGGGGACACCAAGGAAGAGCAGAGCCCTACGAGGATCTTCAGAGGCTCCCCATCTGAGCAGAATGTGCTTCACAAAGTTAACACGTTTATGTATAATCTGCCCAAGTTCAATGCATTTTCAGGTTGAAATGATATTGCCGCCCTCTAGAGGTTATAAGTGTTCTATTCCAAATCTACTCATCTGTAAACTATAATTAACTCATATTTGTTATACTAGAAGTATTTTGCAGATGTCTTTGAAGTCTCTTCCAGGCTCATGATTCCATAACGGGAAAAGGGCCATGCTTACAGTCAGCTGTTTCTCATTGCCAGGGAGGACCGACCAGGAGGAAGTGTCTTAAATGGTAGCCAGAAAGGCTTAGATTAGCAAATGAAAATTTCCAATAATGAAGTTTGTGAAACACTGGAAAAGAGGCTCCTGACGAGTCCAGGTGTGTTTTCCCTGAACTCTACACGTAACAAACACCAAGCTTTGGTAAAAGTTTAAGGACGAAAGCAAACCAAAAGTTCTATGGTTGAAAACAAATGACCCCAGCACCACCTGTTACTACCTACAAACTTTCTGTGCTGGCCCCGAGTCCTCTGGGACAATGTCTGGGACGTCTGTGGGACACCCACTTCCCAGGAGAGCTTTCTCTCCACGTCCACAAGGCTGGGTTCCACAGGGATGTGTCCCTCTTCCTTACCCGCAGTCCTGGCTCCTTGGGGACAGCAGGAACCCTCTCTTCTCCGCTCAGAGAATTGGCATCTAATTTTCCAGGTTCCTTACAGCGTGGCCTCCTCTGCTTTGGTTTGTCTGAAAAATTCTAGGAGACAAGTGGAAATCAGCATTACAAAATGTTGTCACAGATTCTTCTGATGAGGGTGGTGCTTGTCACTGGTTTTGCTATTTTCTCATTAATGGCTCTCTGCCAAGAACTCAGCCAGGTTATGCTGAAGGAAGCGGCCACCTGGATCTCACCTAGGCTCTTCCTGAAGCAGCAGCAAGCTGGCAAACAGGCCGTGTGAGCCGCCTGGCCCTGCAGACCAGAACACCTGGGCTGCCCAGGCAGTGTCTCAGGCGCTGCTTAATCTCTGGCCCTTTCCTCCTCATCACTTTCTCAGATTCTCTCCACTGCTACCCACCCGGGAGGCGTTGTCTGTTTTTGGAAGGTGTGCCTCTGAGAATGTACTCCCTGCCTTTTCTCGTGAGCTCTCCACCTCCGTTTCTTATTAGCTAGATGTACCCAAAGCAAAGATGGTGGTGGTTAAATGAGCATGCAAGAAAAAACAAGAAAAGACATCTGTGCTCAGTAACCCTCCCTTACAGATTCCTAATGCAGAGGACTGAGGGCAAAGGCAGCAAGGGGACTTGAAGAAAAGCCGCCAGGCAGTAACTGTATAACTAAGAACAGACACACCTTCTACAAAGTGGAAATGTATTAACTTGAAAGGAATAGACAGGAACATTTTTACGAACTGGCAATGTTTATGCAACCTGAAGATTTCTCTGTGAGCTTACGATAATGTGTGGTCATTCCAGAGGGAAGGGGGGCAAAGCTCAGATGAATTCCGTCCCTGTAAGACAGTGCATGCCTATCTTGGTCCAGTATTCTGCCATGGGTTGTAATGTTTTTGACTTTGAAAGGGTGTTCTCAGTTGACAGAGATTTCTCCCAAAACCTCCTGGTCTTCCTTAGCAAACTCCTTATCAAAACAGCACCAGGTTAGCAGGAAATAAACAGCAACCTCAGGCAGTAGCAACAAACACTCACTGCTCCAAAGCTGGGGATGTCTAAGGAGTAGTCAGCCTGCTGCCTCAGCCAGTCAAGCAGACTCTTGCTGGGAATGGCCTTCTCAGCCTGGCTGGCGGCTGGTGGGGCTGGCTCAGGGGGCGAAGTGGTGGGTGCTGGACCTTCGGGGTGTGAGGTGCTCAGAGGGGCCTGCCCCAGCTCTTCATGGACTTCCTGGATGAAGGGAACACAAGTATGTCCAGTTAATTATGGCAGAATAAAAACTAGTACCTAAAATGAAAATTCATGAGGTGTTCTTTGAATCTTTCAATCTATTTCCACCTGAATATTACTCTGCTGGGTGCCTGAGTAAGAACCCTAAACACTACTGACCCACATAGAAGCTCTTGCCTACATGGGATGTTCTCTCCACTTAAATACACCTCTCCGTGTCTTGTCTACTTGGTTAAGTTTAATTCCCTCCTATCTGCTCAGGATCAGTGTGACCTCCCCGGTCATGGTCACTGGCAGTCCCAGACACCACTGGCCACTCCATGTCCTGTATCCCTTCGGCACTCTTCACAGGTTTTTCATGTAACAGAAAATGCCTCATTGCAATTTACTTATCGATTTCTCCCTGTCATTCAAATGCCTGTCTTACTCATCTCTGTATTCCCAATGCCTGTAATTGGATTTGCTAATAAAGTACAATGTCGATGCTAAATAAATGTTTGTTTAATACATTTTAAAAATATTCTGAAGTCAAGGAAAAAACTTTATCAGTCATTCCATTGGAATTCTACTATCACTACAAAGAAACTATGACTTTGCACCTCTTAAAAAAAAAAAGATAACCATACTAAAAGTTTGTAGGATCTGTCAGGCAAAGAACCTGCCACTTCCCCTCACTAAATTATATAGAAAGTCTAAGAGAAAGATTTATCCCAAACAATACAGCTTAGTAACAAATCTCTCGCACTCTGGAGAATGAAGTCTTTGGCTTGGCTCCCTGACCTGCACATACCTAGCTGAATAATCTTAGGCGGTTTTCCCACCTATAAAATGGGAATAACACAACCTTTACTGGGTTGCTGTGAGGATCACATAGGACAATCATGTGAAACCGTGAACACAGTGCCTGACACACAGTAAGCTCTCAACAAATACTGGTTATTATTGTTCCTCTTAAAATAAGAAAACATGAAAGGTGATTCCTGTTTTGGAGCTCAAAAAGCAATAAATAGGAAAAACCAAAATAGCAAGAGAAGCCGGTGGTCTCTGTCACACTAAACAAAGTCTAGCGGGATCGCCCTTGGCTGTTGTACCTCTCTGCTGTCTACCATGATCTCCTCTGAGTTTAGAGTGTCTCAGTGCCATCTTGGTGACCCCTCACAGTGACCCTCTGCCAGAGGTGCTACGGCCCCTGCCTTACAGGGGGCAAAGTGAGCCTGACTGATGGCCCAATGTCGCCCAGTAAGTCATGGAGGAGTGCCAGGGTCAACATGCAGCAGGTCTGACCCCTGATCCTTCTTCCAGTCCCAGCTCCCGCTGACCTGGAGCCACCCTGCCACAAACTCCACCCTGTCTGGCTCTGCTCCACCAGGGGCTCTTCTAAACCACTGGAAGATCTGGCTGGTTTCTATATGAAATGGCAAGACCTCCTGGCTCATTTCTACAGGTTGCCTGCAAGTTAAGGGCCCTATTTCTAGAAAAGACCAAGGGTAACTTATAATGATGACATAATGGCAATTGGAGGACAACTGAAATAGGGAGAAGAGACACAAGCCTAAAATTTTGTGTTTGGGGAAGAAGGATTTATCACTCAGCGTAGAAAGGTCCATTTTCATTTCATGGCCTCGTATACCCACCAAGATTCCTGCCTGAAGCGTCTGCTCCTTCAGAAAGATGAGGTCCATCCCGCCCTCAACATGTTTCCGCCTCCCTCTCCGCCTCCTCGTGGCAGGGTCGTCTCTTCTGAGGCTTCCGTTGACGATCTGCCCAGTCACTGGATGGATCAGGCCGGCTTGTAGAATTCCAGACAAGTCCATGCCGAGGGCTCCTTGAAGTGAACTGAGAGCTCCAATCTTAGGGGTGCTGGCACTCACTGGAAAAGGGGATGTGGCTCCTGGAGACCCCTCAGATGCACAGGAGAGGTCTATTGCTGACTCCCCATGCCAGCCGTTGAGGACAATCGAGGGGTGCCCATGGGGGGCAGAGAACTGGTCCAGGTTCCGAGCCTTTGCATCCCTCTCCAGCTCAAACTCATAAGGACGTCTGTGCTTCTGCTCATCCTTTGTGAATACTGGAGCCAGGAAGCTGTCCTGTGAACACACACGTGTGGAAAGAGAGGTCTGAATGCCACTTCCGTGGCTGAACGCCAGCTGCGTCTCCAGGCCCAATTTCCATGGGCCCAGTATTATGTTTAATCATCTTCTCGGAAGTTCATCGAACTCGAACTTCTCAAACTTTGGAGCCAAATCACCTGGACAACCCGTTAAAATGCAGATTACCCTTCAGTGGGCCTAAGATTCTGCATTTCTAAAGGGCTTACAGATGCTGCTAAAGCTGCTTGTCCATGAGTGACAGTTGCAAGATTACAATTTAGGGAACCTCAATTTTGGGTGTAAATCAAAATCAATTGGGAAGTTGCAAAAAAATTCAATATTCAGTCCATACCACAGACCAATTAAATCAGAATCAGCAGCTTTTCAAAATCCCTAATGGATTCCACTAGAGATCAAGAGTGAGGGCCAGTGAGACTGTTAGTGTAGCTCAAACTCAACTTGACTTTCATGTTTGAGTTCATAAAACTCAAACACAACTCACTCCTGCTTTGATTTCCCTGATTCCTATCAGGTGCATCATTCTCTCAGTGCTCCAGGTGTTGAACACATGCCTCCATCCATGCTGCCCTCTCCTTATGTGCCTGCCGATTTCCTCACCTATTTTAGTCCACTCTGTCGCCAGCCTAGTGCAGAACCTCATCTCTTCTTCAGACACCCACGTGCCCCCTGCCCCGGCTTCTGAGGCCCTCCTCTTTCCTGACCCTTGCCACCCATGAACCTGCACACCACTCTGGCTGAGCTGCACAACCCTGCTTTCATCACCCATGCCCTAAGACTTCTAATAGCTCTTCACTGCCTACAGGACAAAATCCAAATTCCTCAACCTACACTAATGGCTCTACCAGAAAAAAAAATAAAACAAAGCAAAACAACAAGACCTCTGCCCACCCATTCAGTAAATATTTGTTGAATGAATGACTCAGCTGATAAGTGCAGCATCCCTGCTCTTTGTCTCATGGTTGACACCTGTCTCGTGGCCTCACCTTATGGATCTGGGCCACCAGTGCCGCGCCACTGCTGAAGCTGTGCTCCGCGGCTTCAGGCTCTGAGAGGCTGCTCCGAGAGCCAGCGCTGCTGGTTACAACGGGGGCGGGCAGTGTGCCCGAGGGCTCGTACTGCTGGCTGGAGGGCCACTTCCCATTTAACACCACGTGGCAGATGTTATCTAGGCGATTGATTATCACCCGATCCTGTTAAAAAAAAAAAAAAAAAGGACAAAATCTCTGAGGCACAGGTACCGACTTACCCAAAATCACAAAAGTCCGTGGAGATCGAGTTTTCTAGACAGAATGAGCTAATTAGAAAAAAAAAGTATTCACTTTATAAGCCTTAAAATAAACTTCACAGTCTGGACTATAAAAATTAAAGCCACAGTGTTGTAAATATGAAGACAATTTGGCACTTTTGCCTTATGGTCTAATTCATCGAGTGCATATACTTTTCATGTTCAAACATTACGATATTAATACCTTTTAAAGATATTAAACATTTCTCTGAATCTTCTACTCAGAAATACTCTGAAATGTAAAAATAAAGGATTTAGAGCTGAGAAGTTTGGGGTGAAAAAGGCGAGCACTGGGAGATACCTTCGGCCACTCAGAGAAGGAATAGAGGGTTTTCTCCTGGAGCAGCTGAGCGATGGTGGGAGCCCGAGCTTCCTGAAGGTCATCCCCAGTGTCTCCTGTGACGCCTGACGTGGAACTCTTGCTCTCCTCTTCAGAGGATTTCCCTGGATAATCTGGGCAGAACAGTTTAAAAAAATTAATTAGATACCTTGGAGATAAGAGTGATCGGAAAGATCAGGAAATCTGATCTGTCTTTTAAAAATCCCCATTCTGGTCCTGGCTGGTGTAGCTCAGTGGACTGAGCGCAGGCCTGTAAACCAAGAGGTTGCTGGTTCAATTCCCAGTCAGGGCACATGCCTCGGTTGTGGGCCAGGTTCCCAGTGGGGGCCACCTGAGAGGCAGCCACATATTGATCTTTTTCTCTTTTTCCTTCCCTTCCTCTCTCTAGAAATAAATAAAAATCTTAAAACCCAAATTTCCATTCTATGCTATTTTATTCTTTAAATTTAATCTTTATTGTATTTTTTCCATTACTATTTAGTCCCTTATACCTCCCTCCTACCAGCAATCACCACACTATTTGCCCATGTCTATGAGTCCTTTTTATGATTTTGCTTAAGCCCTCCTTGATTAACCACCATACCTTCTATCTCCAGAAAAACCAAGTAAATCAAGCCATAAAGGTAGATGCTGCTGCCCTAGAGCTACCTATACAGGTCACCTGGTAAGAGCTGTATCCATTACCTGAACAAAACCAACAAGAAAATAAAGAGGAAGGATGTTTTCCTGTGTTACCAAGAGTGAGAGAAGATAAACCACACAGAGGCTTTCACGTTTGGTGTAGTGGTAAAAGGAAACTAAACATAATACTTTTGATGCATTTCAAGGGACAGAATATATTAGCAAAAAGGATAAAAAGTCATGGAACAAAGGTAAACAGACATGATTCGTGTAAAAATGATGCAAAGAAACCTAGAACACTTATTTCATGTGTAGAAAGAAGTGGAAATGCAACTCATTCACTCAAGCTTCAGTGGATGTTCAAAGTAACAACAGGAGTGAATGAGGGTAGCGAGGTGCCCAGGGCAGAAGCCACAAAACTCTTGTCTTGGTGAGATGACAAGGAATGTCTATCCTCTCATGGGTGGAGATTTCACTTTTTAAAACATGTTATCTTTTAATTACAGTTTACATTCAGTATTATTTTGTACCAGTTTCAGGTGAACAGAATAGTGGTGAGGCAGTCACATGCTTTACAAGTGGTTCCCCAGATGTTTCAAGTACCCACCTGGCACCACGCCGATTTCACTTTTAACTGGATGAGTCTCTGGGGAGCTGCAGAGCCCCCTAACCATGAATACGCCCTTGCTAGGCCAGTGTGTAGAAGGAACCACAAGAGAGATGTGGCCCTGGCCTGCAAGGATCTTACAGCTCCCCAAAGAAAGGAAAACAGCAAATACAAAAAGGTAGCAATAATAAATGAGTAACAATTATGAACTGTATGTGCCAAGCGCTCTAAAGGGGAAGGAACCAGGCACCATGACAGCAGTAAGAGGGAAGGACCTACTGGGGAAGGGCGGGAGCGAGAACACGCAAGAGGATGAGGCGGCAACAGGAAGGGCACTCTGGACATGCTGGGGAACTAAAAGGCGTCCAGGGAAAAGGTACAAAGATGAGGCCAGAGGGGCAGAATCCAATAGATCATGCTGAGTCCTATACACCATGAAAAAAAATGTGGCTGTTAATCTAGATTCCATGGGGAGGACCGCTGAATGGTTTTAAGAAGAGGAGCTGGATTTTTAAGTTTTCAGAAAAAGCAAAATGATGTGAGAGGCAACCCTAGAAAAGAAGCCAAGAGTTGTGGGGCTGGTTCCCACAGCCATGCCAATTACTGCTCCTTCAGCTGTGACTTCCAGTCTCAGAAACAGGGCTAATTTTCCCTGCCTCACCTACTCCATCCCACGTAGCACGTGTGTGGACATCTCCTGCCAAGGGCTGCAGAAGCACTTTCTAAAGCACTGGTGCAAGGGACTCCCACTCGCGAATATGCACAAGCTCACCAGAGCTCACCAAGTTCACTGCCACCTTCTACCTCAACTCAGCAAGGCTGACACTACCTCAAAGAACATCAGTGCGTGGCAGCTCTCCTGTAAACCACACACTTCCAAACGCTGTCCTCGTTTGACTGGGTTTCCAAGCACTGATTACTTCTTGATCTTCTCCAATCCAGGGTTCAAAAAGCAAGGTGGGTAATTTTTTTTTACAATTTTATTTACTTTTAGAGAGGGGGAAGGGAAGGAGAAAGAGAGGGAGAGAAACATCAATGTGTGGTTGCCTTTCGTGCACCCCCCACTGGGGACCCAGCCCACAACCCAGGCATGTGCCCTGACTGGGGATGGAACCAACAAGCAACCCTCTGGATCCCAAGCTAGCGTTCAACCTACTGAACTACACCAGCCAGGAATCAAATAGCAAAGTGGGTTTTATTATTCAACACATGGCAGCCATTCTTCGTGGCCTGGGGTGAGGAGGATGGGCAGGGTCACAGACTGGCTCCTCCCGTGTCAACTGAGGCAAAAGCTGCTTTCAGTTCAGCTCCTCTGGTCTTAACCTCACTGGTGCATCGAGTGTAATTTGGGTTCAGCAGACTTCCCAGTCATCACTCATCACAGTGATTAAAACCAAAGGTTGGGTAGATTCTTAAAGTTTTAAAATTTCTTCTAACTTGAACCCTTATCTAAGATTTCCCTATTTAAAAAGATCACATCTATTCTATATTTGTTGAGGTACTTACACTTTTATTTTAATTTCTGCTGACTTACTAAAACGACCCTAAATCAAACGCACCAACATTAAGTCACAGGGTTTTGACAAGGACATGAGTAAATGATGCTATCTTTCTTCATCTCAGTAAAGATCACATTTATTTGTTTCTGAGGCGTTCCTAAGGTTCCCCAGCTGTTCTGCTCATAGTCCGAAGCGCTGTGTCTAGAGGCATTTCTAGCACCTGTGGTGTAAAAAGCACACGGTCCGCCCCGATCACATGGCTGACGCAGCAGTGGTCGTCTACAACCCTCCTCACTTTTCTGGGATGACCAAAGCTACTCTGCCTCATTTCCAGACCAACGCCTGGACCTTCGGTTTTAAACACACGGTGAGTGTAAGCACATCTGTTTCAGAAGCCATAAAACTCTCAGCACTGCCCCCTCATTTCCCCTCCCTGCCATGTGAGAACTGGTTTATCCAAAACATACAACATCCCCCATACTGCACCTTGACCATGGCAGTTTCCATCTCTATCGTAATCATCTTTACTCTCAAAATCCATGTCTTCTGACTTGAGCTCGCTTCCTTCAGGAGGATGTGTAAGGAAACCCTTCTTCCCTTCTGCACTTTCTTTCCAAGGTTCTTTTAAAAGTTCATGCTTCACTTGAAACGGCTCTGATGGAAGAGCGGTGAGCTCCCGCTCCACTGTGATGTTATTAGTTTTGCTTCTGTACAGATCTGGGTTATAACCCTTGGGCTTTTCCATTTCAAATTCATCATTCTCAAGGCCACGGGTCCACCTCTCCAAGTGTTTGCAGTGACACTGGCAGGCTGCTTGAGGAAAAGCCCCCTGCAGTCTAGCATTCTGGCTCACAGCCTCCAGGCTGCCTTTCTTGGCTTCGTCTACACAGAAGCCTCGGCTCCTTTCACTTGGCATATGAGCAGTGGGCTGGGTCAGAGGCAAAACCCCTGGCCTTCCCCTCATGCCTGCTACCATGTCCAAGTTTTCCTCTTCGTTTTCCTCCTCTTCTTCCTCCTCATCACTGTGGTTCTGACTCAAAATCAAATTACTTTCTAAACTTTTGTTTTCTAATAAATCAATTAATTGCTGCTCTGACGACAGGTTTCTTTTGGAGTCATAGACACTGAGGTTACACATATCGACAAACCCACTTTCATTTCCTTGATCCAAGGAAGGGGAAGCCAAGCACTTGGCTTCTAACTGCCCGATGCTCTCAGGTCTCTGGGCTGCCTCCCTGCAGCAGAGGTCCTCTTCTCTCGTAAGAGACATCAACAGATGATTTCCATTTTTAATGTTCATCTGAGCTACTCCTGCTTCTAAACTATCCATGAGGGAGGAGCCCGAAGCGCCTTCTGCCTCATGGCCACCAGGCTGGCAGTTCGCATCTTCGCTGGCTGAGATAGTAATGGCATCTGTTCTGGATTCTGTGTTGGCACCTGGGCTCTCCTGCAGAGAGCCTGGCCCTCCGCTAAACACCTTCTTACCGTACATCATGCTCTCCAAGGACTCAGGCAGCAGACTTTCATCATGGCTGATAGAGATGACATCCTGAACTTTGGAAACAAAGTTCTCACAAGTCATGTCAGGTAAGCTGCCCCTAGGTGCACCGAGGGAATCCTCTCTGCCTTCTATTTTTCCTAGATTCTCGGGTTCATTTTCAAGGGACTCTGAAGTCCTGCTCATTTGTGTGTATGTAAGAGACTCGTACAGTTTGGAGTTGGTCTGGTAAAGGCAACAGAGACTTTCTGGAGACTGGGCGTCAGGCCTTTTATGCTGGGCATAGTTTCTGTAGGCATCCAGGAAGGACAGCTGGGGGTCGGTCATGATGTAATAGTCAGTGCGGTTCAGCCCATGCTTGGCGGTGCCGATGAGCAGGTCCCGATCGTGCTTCCCACACTCCCACCACACTGGAAGGTAGAGGCTGGGCCTGCAGAGCTGGAGGCGCTCGTGAAGCTGAGGACACGTCAGCACCTGCTCTCGGACCTTCCGCAGCAGTTCAATGCGGTACAGGGTTTTGGCGGCCCGTTCCTCAGTGATAGGCTCAACATAGATGGCGGGGTCTGGGGGACCTGAAAAAGCAAACAGAGAGCCCATCACTTCAGGTGGCCCTCAGACACTGGCTACCCCCGAGTCCTTGCCCTCTGGTCTAACAGCTTAGCTCCCTGACTCCTCAGCATGGCAGTACCAGGTGTGCGTGCCCCTGCTGAACTGAAAAGCTGAGAGAATGGTCTAAGTTTCTGTGAAACAAGGACAGACCCAGTGAGGGTCAAAGAAGAGCACGAGAACTTCAGTTGTGGAAATCAGATGAGCTCCCCGTGGATAAGCACGCACTATGTGCCTCTACACTAGGTACTATTTACACATGTTATTTAGTTCTCACAACAATTCTGTGATGTACCAACACTGTCCTGTTATAAGGATAAGGGAAGATACCAGATAAGCTAGCCTGCTCTAGTGGCAGAAGTGGGATTCAAATCCAGGTCTTGTCAATGGGACTCCAAGGTCAGATCTTCCCAATTTAGCCAGTGCTCTGGCTTTAATGAAAACACACCAACTGTGCCACATGGGGGCAAAAGCTGGGGCATCTGTGATGCTGCCAACAGCCTGGCACCGAAGCTGGGTGGGTTCAACGTGTGGTTTAGCTTTTCTCAAACAAAGTTACATGGCCCAGGACAAGTCTATCTATAAGCAGGAAGCTGAAGAGGGCCCTGAAGGGCGTTGCTGCCGAGAATTCCAACCAGGAAGAAATCTTTCAGAACAGGCCCCCATCTGATCAGGGGATGTCTCAACAACAGCCGCCCCCTTTCTCTGGCTACAAGTCAACACGTGAGCAAACACAGTTATTCAGACTGCATCTATGGAAGGTGCAAATCTCCGTGAGACTTAAAAAATGTAAAATAAAACAAAATGATACTTTGGAAGAGGTATTTCATAGTAGTCCCAAAAGTTCTGTGAGGTTTTACTCTGAATTCCAATTTCTGTTGGAGTTAAGTCATTTTGGGAGAGGGCTTTTATTTTATGAAGGTGGACCCAATTTGGAGCTCATAAATTTGTGGAAACTCACGTGCCTTCACCTGAAATTTTCAGCTAGACTCCACTTTTATAATTATGCCAAAAATAATTCTAAACCTTGAAAACAAGTGTGTTCCTTCCTCATCTCAGCTGGGCTATCAAGACAGAGGGTTCTCACCGCCATCTCTCCACGCGGGCAGACGACAGACGTGCCGGCACATGGCCACGAAACTGTGGAAATAGTGCTCCAGGCTCTCGTCGGATTTCTTGTCCAGACGGGAGATGATGCGGAACTGTGTCCAGTCAAAGGCTTTCTTCTCTTGATCAAAAACAACACCAAAGGAAGACACCGTCCTGTAGAAGTCTGCCTGCTCCCTCCTTGTCCACCTGAGATGTAATCAGAAAGGGAAGGGGAGCTGTTTTTCCTTCTTTTTGAAAACACCAACAGCTAACTTTTTAAATACCTAGTAGAAGTGCCTGTGAAGTTAGGAAGCAGGAAGCACTAGTTTGTCTGTTTTATCATTTATTTTTATTTAAGTTAAATTGGGCTGAAAGGCTTATAGTGAAAACAGCCTATCGTCCAACCAGCAGTTCAAACCTTTCAGCTCTCCTGGTATTTACCTCACAATTTCTAAACCATATCTGCACACTTGTGATCTCTTGATTCTTCAACTTGATAAAGTTACTAGTTTATTTCCTCTTGTGGGAGATATTTTTATAATACTTTTTACGGTTAAACATTTTACGTTATTTTTCCTCCCCTGTATGACATCCTAGAATTACAGAATCCTGGAGGAACCTTCCAGACCATTGAATTCACCTGCTTCATTTTACAGACAAGGAAACTGGGCCAGAGGAGGGAAGGGCCTACCTCAGCCACACACCTCCCTGGACCCCCATCGCACATGGGCTTTCTTCCTGCTTCGGTAGACTGGTTGTCCATATCAATTATTGTCTCTAGAATGCAAAGGTTCTCTAGTGTTTAGACCCTGTAGGACTAAGGTAATGACTTAAGGGAGTGGAGTGATTACACTCCACTAGTCTTTATGGGGGGCTTTGGGCAGCACATGCTTCACCCCCGAGGGAGTGAGATAAGCAGTGTGACAAGGAGGTCGGAGGAAGAGTGAGAAGCAGGCAGGATGGGGCTCTGGCTCTTCTCTTTGGAGCTGTGAAAGAGGGAAGAAATATTTCCTGAGTCACCAAATTTCATAAAGCCAGAAGGCGTGCAGAGAATAAGTGAATGTGCTGTGTGATGTGTTGATTCACTGGATACCACACCAGAGCCATGGAGAGATAGAGAGACTCAGAACTGAGCTTTGTTAATTTTTCTGGTGGTATCAATCTAGCCTGTGCTGGCCTTTTGAGCCATTTTTAGCTTAATTCTCACACAGGAAAGTGATTCCTGGCAATTTGCATCTTCCTCCTAGGCTGGCATTTTATGGTACTGATTGTTCTCAGAGGCTTGACAAGGACTGGTAACTGTAAGAAGACAGCTTCAACACACACTACTCACCCTGCTGCTGAAAGAGCAGGGTCTGATATACGCCTTTTGATCTTTTTACCCAGCAATGGGGCTCCTAAACCCCACCCTCAGAGATGGGGTCCAACTAAGGAAAGGGGGTCAAGCTGCAAAATCATAAAAGTCTGAGTACGGTGAACAGAGGGAGCCCTAGATCTCATAGGACGCCCTAGCAATCAGAGGAAACAATAACATTCAGAGGCCGGCTCTAGTTAACCCTGGAGTACGCGTGTCCTCCAGCTACTGGCTTTCCCCTTTGTCCCCTTCAACCAGAGGGCAGCTTAGCACGCCGTCTCGGCCACTGGCTTTACCTCTTTTGGGCTTCCTTGTTGATGAGGTCCATTTCTGAGGTTCTCCTGAACATCTCTTCCTGGACCCAGTATCCTTGGTTACCTGGGCCCAGAATCTCAGGCCGGCAGAGTTCCTTGCGGTTGCAGCGCTGATAAATAGTGACCAGCCGCCTGAGCCGAGCTGTGAGTGCAGATGACACTGGCCAGGGCGATTTGTCTGGGTCGGAGCCATCCTGGGCTTCAAACATCAGTGAGGACATTAGTATTTACAAACAAGCAAAACACAGGTGACTCAAGAAGTCAATCAGCTCAGGAGCTGGGCATAGCTGGTGAGGCTGCAGTTTCGCTCTAGAAACTACTTGGCCGCAGCTGGCTGCAGCCTCTCAAACACAAACGTGTCTGTCTGCAGAACTGCTTCAAGGACCCTGCTCTAGCCCAGATACGAGCAGACCCTCTGTGGCCTTCTCCATAGAGGACGACTATGGGCTTTTGTAGCCAGGCCTTCCAATTGCCAAAGACTCAATTAAACGTGAAATCAGAAAACCAAACCAGAAACCCAAATCCCCCAGCTTTTCTCCTTCACCAAATATTACATTTAAAAAATCAACCAAACTATGACTCCCTTGTTTCTCTCAGACTCCATCCTGACTTCAAACATTACCATGGACTCCACTTCTGCACTGCAATGCCAGGTGGAGAAAGCTCGCCAGAGCCATGTCATGGCCCCACGTATGACGCCAGAAGAGCTCGATGCAGGCCAACTTACTTGGCTTTTTACAAGAGCCTCCTTAAAAAACAACATCTGAATACACATGAACTCCAGAGCTACGAACTGGGACCTTACTCTTCTTTGCCTTCAGAAGGACCCAGTCTCACCTGCCTGGCTGTCTTCCTTCTTTTCACCAAAAACGCCGTCACCTCCATCGCTGGAACTCTCCTAGGAATAAATGAAGTCACGCCATCAGCAGAACTGCAGCCAAAACTACCTCCGACAGTCCTGTATGGAGGGGGTCAGCACGCACAAGAGATATCTCCTGTCCCCGAGCGTCTCAAAGACTGAAATGGTCCCTGAGAAATAAAGGTCACTTAGGCACAGTTTTAGAAGAGCCAGAAAGCACTTTATTCAAAGTAAGCATGGTTTCCGGGAACTGTGTGGAATGATTCTGCCTGTAGAGAATTATAGCTTAAAGAATGATGAACTTGAACATTCTCCCTGGCAATGACATTTTACACGAGCTACTGTAGCTGTGCATTTACATACTTGCTTTCCCGCCATCACTCGCAATCTAGCAGCCATTTCGCATGGCTGTGCCTGCACCTTGGTTGTGGTGGAGAACCGTGCTCCCGTTCATGACTGTCAGCTTACTTCACAGCACCAGAAGCACTTCCCCAAAACACCACTGCTCCGGGCTCGGGACCTGATGGTGCAAAATCCCGGGAACTTAAGATTAAAATCACGATCCGAGGCTCCAGATGAATCTGGAGGAGTATCACAGGCACGGGTTTATCCAGGTTGGAGCATCTGTCAAACCGGCTCTAGTCTAACGGGTTCCTTCACGACCCCCTTCTTGGTCTGAGGAATGGAACTTTAAAAGAAGAATGTGAGCCAGAGTATGTGTGGCCCCCAGCCCAGGTCAGTCACTCTGGTCCCTCACAGAAAACGCCTGCAGCCTCCTGGACAAGCACACAGCACAGGGACCAGTCCCCCAGGGACGGTAGGAATGGATGGACACCTACAACGGGCAACAGTTAAAATTCCAACCACTCTCTTGGACCCCTCATACCATGGGAGGATCTGAAGGAGGAAACTCTGAAAAGGCAAAGAGGAGCGAGGCCCGTGTTCTGAATGTGTTTCTTTCTTACTAGAACAGCTGACGTTACTGAGAACCATGTGTTACTTAAGCACCACACGAAACCCTGTATGTGACATCTCGCTTATTTCTCATGACTGCTTCATGAGGTAGGAACTACCACCCCCCCCACTTTAGAGCCCACAAGCCACAGAAAGGCTCTGCAGCTTGCCCAAGGGCACAGAGCTAGTAAGTGGCAGAGCTGGGTGTCAAACACAGCAGTTGGACGAGAGCCTGCACTTTCAACCCCCGCCTATGAAAAGAGGAGAGACGGGACAGGCCTGTCCTGGGGAGAGAAACGCACTTAGAATCGGAGAACGCCAGTTTAACCTCTCTGCCTTGGCCCACCTGTTTCCTACCATCTAACGTCTGTGAGGAGTGGGAACCGCAGGACGGTTCGCTGCACCATTTTGAAGGCACACTTAAATATGCCATCTCACCCCCTTCCATTGTTTAGAGGTGGTTAGGAAATGAGCAAAACATAACTGACCACTGCCATACCTTATATCCTTTCTGGCCACAGAACATTTTTCCATATCCCTATAGTGTCTATAGAGATCCTTTGGATGCCAAAATTTGTAATTTCAGATCTGCTCAGACTGAAGATGCCCTGCTGCCTATAAAATGCAGGAGTCAGGCACCAGGGCCGTCATGCCCCTGTGACGACACACGGGACGCTGCCATGCGCATCGCCATGCCCCAGGCCCCAGGGCCGGCTTCCAGCTTGCTCTTCCGGTCCATCTAACCGTTCCTACGGGTGCCCAGTGAGTACACGTCAAGCGCCTTTTCCTGAACCCTGCCCTCGCACTGAGGCACCTCCTCTCTCTAGAAAGGACAGAATGGAGAAGAACTAGCTGGCTTACCAGGAGCCCAAGTGAAAAAGACGTCCTAAGCTTAGTGAATGACGACTTCATGGGGGTGAGCGGGGGCAGACTGGGGCCATAGAAGCACACCGAAGGCTGGGGTGGGAGTATGCAGTTCGACACTTGGCATCTCAGGTTCTGTCTAGGTCAAGCAGTCCGGAAGAAATGTCACCTTCAAAGAGGTGTGAACCAGCTATTTCAGAGGCAAGGGTCCCAAACAGTGTGACAACAAGAACGTCACAACAAAGGAAACGGACTATAACAGGCAATTTCTCCATCTTGAGCACACATGTGGTTTGGAATCTGACAGCCCGCTGCTCCCTGGCCTGGGACAAGACATTTCGATCTCTCTCAAGCTCATTTCTTTATTTCTAAAGTGGAGATAATAATACTTTTTAGGGTGACTGTGGAGTGCAAATGAGTCAATCATGTAAAGTGTTTAATTTGCTGGCACAAAGCCAATGTCCGATAAATGGGAGCTGGGACTGAGGAAATACTAATGAGCAGCCCCTGATCCTAGATAATCACACAGTATCTCCATCTTTCAGCTTCGGGGTTGGCTAAAAGTTCACTTGTTTTTCTTCTGTAAGATGGCTCTTAGTAGCACTTAGTCATCTTTAACTTCATTGGAAATACTTTTGTTAGATTATATTGTGACAGCTGCCATATCAGCATGCATTTAAAAAACCTGTCAAAATCGATAAAGTTTTATTTAGTCATTATAATATTGAAGATGGAAGAAAATATGTAATGTTTTCAGCTATGCTTTATTATTTCAAGAAAGGTAAAAATGTAACTGAAACGCAAAACATGATTTGTGCAGTGTATGGAGAAGGTGCTGTGAAAGATGGAACACATCAAAAGTGGCTGGTAGAAACTATTTAAACCCTGGCTGTGTGGCTCAGTTGGTTGGAGAATCATCCTGTACACCAAAAGGTTGTGGGTTTGATTCCTAGTCAGGGAGCATACCTAGGTTGTAGGTTCGATCCCCAGTGGGGGTGTGCATGGGAGGCAACAGACTGATGCTGTCTGTCTCTCAAATCAATAAAAACATATCCTTGGGTGAGGATTAAAAAAATAAAATAACTATTTGAGCTTCCTCTTTTCTAGTACAGGGATCAGAATAATGGCTAACTGATGGGGAAACATGCTTTGTAAGCTTGTAAGTACTCCACATTAAAAAACCACTGAGTCCAGAGAAGCCTCAAACTCTTAACTCGTAAGAGTGATTTCTCAGTTCCTAACTGAAATTTCTTCTCAACGGGATTGGACCATTTCAGGCCTATTTCTCCATAAGAGTCTTCCCCAAGCTCACTGTGCAGGTGACAACAGCCCCACTCACAGACCCTGTTTCAGAGGCACCCGGAGGAGGAACATCTATGGAGCAAGGACAACACACACCATTACAACAAGACTGTACGAGTGCAAGTTGTGCCAGTACTTGCTCCTACTTCTGTTCAAAGAGATGATAACCTCGCAACATACAAGGTGGTAGAGTGAGACTTCATTTATAACCCTAGGCTCCAAACCATCCCAAACACAAGTATAAACTTTTAGACTCTGCTTTGGAGGTTTCTGTAGTTCATGAACTCCAGCTGCACCTGAAATCTGTTTGCCGAAGTTCTTTTGGTATTGACACAGAGAGAGGCTGGGGAAAGGGAGGAGACTAGATCTTCTCAAATGCCCCTTTAACTCTAACATTCTGTGATCCTCTGCCCACCATGTTTTAAGGGGACAACTGTCACAGTGTGCTCTGGAAGGCTCCAGAGTAGTGAGGGGTCTGGAGATGACGAGACATGAAGAAAGGCAGAGAACTAGGGATACTTTACCTGCAAAGAGATTTAACGAGATTAAGGTTGCTACCAGGCCTCAAGAATTTAAAATATTATCAGAGAGGAAAGAAAGAAGAGTTTTGCTTCTTTGCAGTACCAAAGAAAACTAGACACAATCTATGGAATCAATTGGCAGTCAGCTATCTGGGTCAACATAAAGAACTATCACCCACCAATGAAATGGGCTTCCTTGGAAGGCAGCACATTCCTCCTGGAGTACCTGACTCCCTGCCAGCAGAGCTGTGGCGGCGCTAGGACACTCAGAGGCTACTCAGACGTGTGCTGGGGCTCCTTGCAATGCTGAGGCTCTTCTGCTGTTAGCTGTTAATCCTTCCATGCCCAGGTCCGTGTGATTCAGACAGATTACCCTAGTCATGGGTGACAGGCTCTTTGGGCTTCTTTGACCTGCTTGCCGATCTGCCCAAGGACAGAAATGGGAGAAGGAAACACCCGACCAGTGTCTTCAGCACAGGAGGTACGGGCTGAGAGGGCAACAGGCCTGCTCCTGACATCGGCTGTGCTTCTATGGAAGTTGAGCTTATTCTGTTACATAATCTGTCCACCTCAAAATCTGGGGAAGCCATTCTCCATTTAATCTGCTTTTGATTATATTCTATATATAGCCCAGGTTTTAGGGGTTTGATGAGCAAAATAAATAATACAGGCATTAATTTTATAAGTGAACCAAAATGATGGTTCCAGAGGAGTTTTACCTTACTGTAAGAAAACAAGTTATTTTATCAGCTCTGCTACACAACCCCATGCCCGGAGCTCTCCAAGATCAAGACCAAGTGCTTCAGCAGCTAGACTTTATTGGGACCAGCTCTCGGCAGGGCCTGGCCTGCAGCTGGCCCATCAGCTGCCTTTTCATAGGAGCTGCTGCTGGGGGGAGGCACATGCATGTGCCGCTGCAATGCTTTGTACTTCCGTGGCTGCGAAAAGAATGCTTGATTGGGAAAAAGAATGCCAGAACGTTGAGGCCACATCTAGTTTAAATTCTAACATCTAGTAGCTGTGAGCACTTGGCAAGTCCTTTAACTTCCTGGGCCTAAATGTGCTCAGCTCTCAGAGGAGGACGGTGACGTCTGAAGTGTTTATCTCACACAGCTGAGATGACAATCAAATGAAACAAGTGGAAAAAGGGCTTTGGAAAGAGTCAAGTTCTACACGAGTACAAGGTATTATTTTCATTTCTTCGGTGCTAAAGTTATTTTCCATGGGAAAACATATCCCAAATTCCAGACGAAAAAAGTAACAGTGTCAGCTGGGGTCCAAATGGCAGAATTCGGGATGTTAACTGTCAAGAGCAGAACCCAATTTCCTTCAGGCCTGGGGTCTGAACCTTCATGCTCATTTGCCTCATCCCACTGCTTCTCAGACCTCTGGGGAGAC